CCGGAGGTGGATGTCATCTGCATAGACGACCATGTGCTCATGAAGCCATTGATGGGAGTATTTGTTTTGGAGATCAACAAGTACAAGGCTTATGGTGAGGGTCCATAGTAAGGGGGCATCTTTGGCCCCCTGTTTGATTCCCCGATGTGCATGGATTTGTCCGATCAACTGCTTGAAGGGAATACAGTACTTATGGGGGGTGAGCCATGTGTGCACAAGTTGAAGAAGGTCAGTATCCAAATGGTACAACTGCAATGCGCGAAGCACCAGGGTGCGGCTGACCGTGTCAAAAGCCTTTTCCATATCTAATGAGACTTGGAGTCCTCCAAGCAGCTTAGGCTGAGTTCCAATCTTGACAGCCCTGCACATCATGCGTACATTTCTGCAATGTTCGGCAACGATGAGAAGACATTCACGTGTCCCTCTGTGAGGCAAGTACGCATAGAGTGGAAGACGTCTGAGTCTGTCGAACGTCTGCAGAATGATCTGTCTGCATTGGATTCCGGCAAGAATCTTGTTGACCGGGTGTTGAAGACAGATTGGTCTGAGAGCCTGGGGTTTGCTTGGGGATTTATTCGGTTTAGTGAGGAGGTGGATCCATCCTGTTGTCCAATGATCCGGAAGATTTACGGGATATCGAAGCCAAACCTGCTTAATCTGATGCATTAAAGGATCAACAAGATCATGCGCAAAATGCTTCCATATCAGTGCTGGCAGTCCATTCGGTGCCAGGGCTTTGGTGCTGGGCAGGTGCAAAAGCTCAGTAAGCACATCCTGGCGGTCGAAGGGAAGGCGGGTGAGGGATTCGAGGTCCCGGACGTCAAACTGCGGATCAGCAAACAATTGTGTATAGTATTGTTCGATGGACTCCAACTCCTGTCTCGGTGCAAGAGGCATGCCATGAGTATCAAAGAGCTGAATTCTTTTCGGTCTTTGTTTCGGACACAGGAGCCTGATCTTCCGGTACCAGTCAAAAATGCGTCCATGAAGGGCAAGATCAGCACCCTCAGTGAGAATTTGGTGCAGTTTGTCTCTCTTATTCTGCCTGCTCTATTTACGAATGGCTTTATGGATGGTTCGGAAGGTGGTGATATGAGCCCAACACTCAAAGAGATCGCGGATGCCGCGTCCTCGAACGGCCAGAGCCTGCTTGCGGGCATTCCACATCCTGGCGGCCATGGAGGAAATCTGGGGTGCATGAGGGACCCTTGATTTTCTTTTGGGAAAGAAAAGAGAACAAAGGGTTCGAAGTTCTTGTTCCAAATCGAACATGGATACCTGATGCGATGGAGGAGGTGTAGAGTGTCGAGCGATGCACTAACGAATCTGAATCTCGAACTGCTGCCAGTGTGCAGTGTGCTCTATTCTAGCCGTACGGATGGCAAATCTGTCAATGTTGTTAAGAGGAAGCACTGGTTTCCGAGGCGCAAACCACCTTGGCAGGACAAAAAACAATGGATGATGATAAGGTCCGTGACATCCAAAGTTGCGCATAAAACTCCTATCCATGGTGGGTTGCATACGACGAAATTAAACCTAATGTTGTCGAACAAAAACATAATCAATGCGAGAATGATGGGAGCCATGTTCAAAGGTCGATGCATACTACTGTTTACAATGCAACGCAATCAAGTCCTGTGCTTTCAACAATTGCTGAAGAAGATCTCGATCGGTGTGAGTGTTCAAGGATGCACGGGTATCATGGCTATTGATGTGGGGCGGATCGAACTTGAGGGTGATATTAAAATCACCCATGAGGACCATTTGATGCTACTGCTGCGGAATATGATTCAAAATCTACTGCAAGCTAGTCCAAATCTTGGCCCGATTATCAAGAAACTGTTCCTTGCCTTTGGTTACATTCCAGGCATATTAATATACAACGATGAAGTCATCATATGTTCTATCCAAAAAGAGGCGGATCTAAAGAAGTCGGCCATCAAAATGAGAGGCCGAGGTAATCTGTTCAGGTCTGGCCAGGGTACTCCGGATAAGCATCAGTATTGTTGCATGCTTCGTCGATAAATAGATACAATGCCATCCCTAGGACGTCCAAGTAGAGTTGAAATTCCAACCAATTTCCTGCAAGGCAATAATATCCAAGGAGTTGTTTGCGATGGCCGTAGCTTCAGTTTATCTTGTGAGTGCCGCCGATGGGCTTCTCGAAGGCGCCAGGGTACATCGGTGTCAAAAAGAAAGCCTTTTCGACAAGGTATATAGCCATGTTACAGTGCTCGGAAGCATGCTCTTTTAAAGGTCCTTTTAATCTAAACGATGCGCTGCCGAGAGACGACAAGACCGTAGCCTCCTCTAACCCATACCTCAAAAGGCTTCGTAGAGAAGCTCTATTTTCGAGTAAAAAAACCATTTCCACTCTCGTCCGGGAGTAAAGAGTCCCGAACAACCCTTACGTCACCCATAGTTCCGCTCAATATAAAAAACGGTGCATTAGCGTCCATGGGCCCTAGACTTAGGACCAAAAAAATCAACCTCAATCCTAACAAAATAAAAAGCAGCCAAATAAAAACTATCATCAATAAAGTGAAGGCCAAAAAGTTCAGAGCACAAGGCAATGAAAATAACGAGAAGATCTATAAAGAAATAGCTACCGTAACTCGAGGCTAAAATAACGTTTAATATATATATTTTTTTACAATATATTACATAATATTTATATATATATATTTTTAAATAACAAAATAATATTCAATAATATTTATCAAATTAAAATGGGACCCATTACTTTTGTATGCTTTGCAATTTTTAGCAGCAATATCAATAAAGGTAAACAATGCTAAACATATCCAAAAATTGCGGACATATAATATCACTTTTTACGAGGGCCTATCTCTCTTACAAATTTTAGCACTATTCCTAAAATTTCACGACCACTCTTTACTAAATTAGTCTTTGCACTTTTTGGCGATTGCTAATGTATATTATTGATATTTTTTCATTATGTTGTTTTGTCAATATTGCACTAGTCCAATGTTGTCCAATGATAATAGAACAAATGGCACGCATCCCAAGAGGAACGCTGTCATTGTTGATTCAAGCAAATAGGATCTTGAGATCTGTGCCAACTTTTCTAAAGTGGAAAATCTAGACGCTTCGTCCAGTCTTTCGGAATAGTGCAGTGTTCTTCGGGCTGCAGCCCTTGGGGCTCAACCTGAGCATCATGCGGCTGCACCAATGCCAAAATAGAGTGCTGTGTGAATGGCAGTTGCGGGGATAGTGGTGGTGCGAAAGGACAAGAAGCACTGGATTGAGAAAACCCAATTTGAGCAATTCCATTTGGGCCATGCCCCATCTATCATCTGCTGCTCATCTCAGAACTTAGTTGCCCATCATTTGTCACTCCCAACGTCTCAGTTTGAGCCTAATAACATCCAATAATAATAATAATTTCAAAGCCTCTCCTTCTTCTATTCCAGGATAACATGAAAGGCAAAATAGAAACATCTCTGACTCCTTGGGACAACATTCATCTGAGCGAATCCTGGTTCTGGATCCAAGTTGAAACAGCAAAACCAAGATGTGTATTATAACGGAAGCTCAACAAAAACCACTTGCAAATCTATCCTCGCAACAATGCCAATCAACACTAACCAGTGAATGCAAACTTCCAGACCAATACCAGAAACCCCACAGCACACGCTGGTCAAAACATCGTCTCAAAAAAAGAACCAGCAGTCCATTGAGTCCCTCGAAAAGGTCTCGTTGCTGTTTCAGTCTTCGGTACATCAAGCATGATTCAAAGGGGAATTGGGTCATGAGGAATCTTTTCAAACCACTTCATGAGAAGAAAAAGAAAACATAAACAAAGAAAGACAAACAGAAAGAAAGAAGGTACAGGCCTCATCCATATGGTAAGCGTCGGTTTGATACATGACTTCCCACCCGTCTCATCTCGGCATCTTTCTCAGGTTTCGGGCTCAGCCAGCTTCTCTGCCGCCTTGGGCGACCAATCGCCCACCTCCTCAAACCCTGAGGAACACGGCGATGCCAGTGGTGCGCATTGCGGCACGACACTCAAGGAGTTGGTGCGCTCGAGAACGCTCAAGATCTGTTGACTTGGCAGAAAGAGAACAGCTCGTTGATGGTTTTGGTGGGGAGTCTTTGATGAACGCCATGGGTTCGTGGAGGGTATAATATATGTCTTTCTTCTACTCTAAATAGTCTGAGTTGGACATGGCTTGTATGTCGGGCTTGTATTCGGGAGGCAGACTTGCATGCACATGTCTGTATAACTTTTCACGGGTAGGCCAAGAGATCCATGAACGTATAGTACTTCCATGGCATGGACCTGCTATGTCTGGATTCCAAACTAGGGCATTGGTTTTCTTGGCGGCCTCGACTTGGTGGGCCTGGACCCAGGTTGGCAACAAGCGCTCCTCGTTTGAAGAGGTGATTGCGAGTTCGCTTGATGGACTTGTAAGAATCCTCAGGTCAAGCATCCAACAGTCTCTGTTTCACAGCACAGTTTGATCACTAGAACGGTTATTGAAGGGTGGCATGTATCATGTATTGCATTGATATTATATATCTCAACCTTGCAGTAGCTTCACAGCGTCTTTAAACCGCCATCTGTGACACACCCCAGTTTTCTCAGTCTCACGTTCCGTCGTTCTGATGCTCGAGGTGTTACAATTGGGCCTCATATGTGATGCGATTCCATCTTGGACTTGCGTTCCTTGTTGCCCAAACAGGCTTTGCCTTCCCACAGCTTGTCACTTTCCAAAGAACTCGCTCTACCTTAGCCTGCTTGCTCTGCCGTCTGTTTCTTTCTCAAACCTCGTGGCTTGTTTCCACATGTCAACACACTGGGCTGTTGAAGGGAATTGCGGATTTGTCACAGCCGCAGTTTACCTCGTCCTAAGGTCATGTTTGTCCTTCGTGGAACAGGTCAACATGGACACATCCTGAGGAGCGGTATGGCAGGGGTTAATCTGGCTGCTTTTTCGTGTTCGTGTTCAATGCATGTCTTCCTGCCGAGCGTCCAACGTGAAGTTCCGTCATTATCAGGTTGTCTAAGGGATCATGCTGACGATGGCCTCACACGGTTCTTGCACCATCAAGGATGGTGGTGTTGTGGTACCAGCCAAACTTGAGGGCTGCTTTGAGCCGAGTTTACAGCCGCTTTATCTTGGGGTCACTGTGGTTTTAGTTGTGGCCCTTCTTCCCATCGCCGATGAAGTGCACTGACAGTAAGCGTTTTCCAGGTTGTGACCACTTGATCTCACTCATTTGGCTGAGGGCCGACTTTGCATTGCTTAAGATCAATCGGCAAAGGAGCTTTGAAGTGTCTGAGAGATGATTTGATAGTCTTCGGAGCGGCTTTGAGGTCTGCTGCTCTGCTATCCTTCTGGCTTGCACATGGAAGTCACAGAAAGCATGTTGGCATTCATTTGCTTCCCGTTCAGAATCTTCTCTCATGCTCTGTTCCCTTTCTCTGTTCACTGCAGGAGGTGTGTTCTCGTCATCATGACAGAAATTTGCCTTGGCTGGCCATGAGTAAACTCACGTCTGCTCAACACTTGATGGCTCCTGCATAGTCGTCATTGGTTGATTGTGATTGAATTATTTTATCAGGACCTCAAGAGATCTCAAAGCTAAAGGGACTGGGCGCCCAGCTTCACAGGCTTCCCAGCAAACTTCTGGGTCAGCTACGTAATACCAAATTCCTCAGCTCTCGCGGCCTATATTGATGTGGATGATGCCTCAAACATCATCGTCAAGTGCTTCAAGTGATACCCGGATAGGGAGGTGTTCAGGGTTTCCTGGTTCCCATGAGTTGAACATTCTCCAGCTGAACAACCCCCAAGTTTCCTGAGCTCATGACGGACGCACAAATCTTTGTCGACATGTTGGTTCGTGAGCTTCTTGTACACCTGCCAATGTAGGGTTCTTGAGTTTCGTGTATCCTCGTTCTGCCACCCTCTCGAAGATTTGGCAGTGCCAAACAAGGAGCAATGAATTCCCACACAATTTACCAAACCAATCGGATACAGTAGTTCTTTGTTAACCTTGAAGATCTTTTAAGACACCCAAGGTACAGGCGAAAGCATTCAGGAGTCATGTATGAAATGTCGAAGGATGCCTTCGAGCCTGACTCCCTCCAGCTATGCTTATCTTCTTTTGTTTTTTTGCTGCGCAAGTGTCGGCCCTAAAAAAAGGAACTGTGACAAGCTGCGAAACATAGGTGGTGGTTTCAGAGTCTGAGATTGGTTGGCAAAGGTGGTCCAACCTTTCAAGACCACGAGTGGCAGGGATGCTGCCTCCTGCATCTCATCTAAAGGCAAAGACATGGCATAGGCCATTGGCCTCGGTTGTCTTGACCGAAACTACAGGCATCGCCCGAAACCAGGCAGGAAACAATCTGGGCGATATCTTATCATATTGGAACCCTTCATGAGGTCTGGTTCGCTTCAAGACTGGCTTGCTGCTTCTGGAAGATAGGATATTACCGCAGGGTTCTGGTTGGATTGGGCCTTTAAGCCTAGCTGCAAAACCAGCTAGGCTTAAAGGTGCATCACCTGGTTTCATGTCTCAGTTGTCCCTGATACTCAAAGGACATGTTTTCGGTGTCTCTTACAAGGGTTCACTGAAATCTGACAGCTCTCGTTTTGCTTGTCAATATAGATCCTTTTGCATTCCTTTGGTATCATCAATCGACATTCCGTCTAGGAAGTTAACTAAACAAATGCTGGATGAAGCCCATTGGACCCCCATCAAAGTGATGAGCAGTGCTTTCAAGACAGTTCACCCCTCCGGCAACTACCCTGCCTTTGGCAACCACAGCCACTGACCACAGCTCCAACAAACCCCCACAAAGCCCAGCTTGAAGGATTGATGCCCAACATTCACATACAGTAATATTGGGTATTTAACATAAAGCTCGATTCAGAATTTCAACCTCTGCTTGTTCTGCTTGTTTGGTCAACATAATCCGCCCATGCAAGACTCTGTATCCATCATGATCTCGGCATAGAACTGCATTCCAATAACGCTTGACTCACTTCTCTATATATCCATGTTGGGATCTCTACAAATGGTCTCGACACAATCTTTGGCATCCTGAAAACCGACATCTCCGTGCAAACTACCAACCTCTCTTCAGGCCCCGCACAGCATCACGCTGGACATCGCTGTGATCTTAGAGTCGTGAAGCTCTTCACAGCACAAATCTCTCGCTTTTGAACAGCCTCTTTCAATCTCTCAAGCTCGTTTGAGGGGGGGCCAGGTACAGCGGGTACAGGAGCAGTTGAAGTTGTGTGCACAACATCTGAGAAGTGAGTATTGTCATAGAACCTATTGAAAAGTAAAAGTCAACGTCTGTTCGCCCGACCAGTGAAAGGAAGGGAAGGACTGGGCACTTGGCAACCCAGATCGGGGTCAACCTTCAACCTTTTGGTATCCAAATCCACTGTGAACTATGGAGAGTTGGTGACAATGGGGCTCCGCGCCTTACTACTAGTAGCATTCTTGCTACTAGTAGTCCTTGCCCCTAGTAGCGATGCCCGGGTTCCTAGTAGCGATGCCAGGAGCCCCTAGTAGCTTCTTGCCCCCAGTAGCGATGCCAAGGGGGTGTCTGAGTATCTGAAAGACTGCAAAAGCACATAGCAATGTGCTACTGGTACCTGGAGCCCGACATGTCGTCCCAGTGCCAACTCCGACAATGCCGAGGCTTCCACGCAAAATGCAAAGGGGGCGCGCTTCTTGTAGCTGGCAGTGGAATTGGATTAACATGAAGTTCAGCATCATCTCTGGTGAGCTCATATTTACATGTTCAAATTTGAAGGATTTCTGAAAAGAAACGACGACTTTGCCAAAACACCCGACTCATTTCAGCGACGTTCCACATATGTTGGAACAAAAGGGACTAAAGCTCCAAAGAATTGCACTTATTAAGTTTCCCTAACAATCTAGGAACCAAATGAATAGAAGCGTGAGCAATCCTGCGTCCAGTAGCTAGGAGAATGTTTAGTAGCTAGGAGCGTCCAGTACCTTACTTATATATATATATAAAAACGTAGGAGAAGCCTACTTAATTATGTAGTAGGGGGGCAGGCCGGGTCCAGATGTGCTGCGCATTGAAACATTTTCACATCCCATCCCCCACAAGCTTGGCTGGGCTTGCGAGAAGACCGTGACCACCCATATCACCTTGAGTCCCTGCAGAAAGCCAGCTGGGCATCTTCGATGACTGACCGATGAGAGGACTTCTTTGCAATGCTTACATTACCAATGCTTACATTGCCGAGTATTCTTGATCAGCAAAAGGCAAGTTATGGCTCCTGATCCCTATCGATATCGAGCCATCACCCACAGCTGCGTTGTCCCTTCTCCCAACGGCTGACTTCCTGAAGAACGGCTGACTTCAACGGCACCGCATCTACCTTTCAAAACAGAACTGGGAGACCGAAGCAATCCTGTGGGAGAATGAGCACATTCTCTCAAGCTACAATGATGGGCAATCTTGCTCTAAACAGCCTTGTTGAAGGCTCCACCAATACCCGTCTCCTAGCAGTATTTACTGCACACATCTGAACTACAGGTGTTGCTCGAATGCTCTGTGACGCAGCAATATGATGTTATATGGCAGTACAAGGCACTCATTCGTAAGCATTCGCTACTCCGTTTGATTCATACACGTGCCTACACGTTATTTCATGTTATGTCCTGCTGAAAGTATGGAACTGGTAAGTTTTCAAAGCGAAGAGTGTCACGAAGGCTTCGGTGCTGTGCGGGAAGGATGCTGCGACATACTGAGCATTCTACTTGACAATGCAAGAGTAACTCTGGAGGCGCAAACAAAGGGCCAAATCTTTGTACTTCTGGGATTCTGGGACTTCGGGTGTCGGCAATAGTTTGGCGACTGATGCGGCATCCAGTTCAGGCTTCCCAACGGTTAGCACAACCTGCTTAATGGTGAAAAAGCTGTCAATGTCGTGGATCAAGGGAAATCGCCTCAGGATAGGCCCAAAAGGGTATCCACTGTCAATGCAAAGCCGTCCAATGCGGTCTCAACTGGAGCTTTGTAACATTTTCTCCTTGCTTTTTGCTGTGTGGGGGGAAACCACATCTGAGATTCCTGCAGCACTGCATCTCCCCAACCCCAGCCAGTCAGAAGCACCTCATGGGGAGATGGGCTGTGGCAGTATAGAGATCCTGTCTTATGATGTCTTAAATCTTGAGGAAACATCAAACAAAAATAGCTTGGACACCCATTCATAGTGTTCTGAGCATCCGAGGTTACTTACTTGACCTAAACTTGCACCCTGGAAAAGAGCCTGATGGAACATGGATTGTTATAGAGCGTTGCAGGAATCATTCCACCAGCCGCCATTGCAGGGCTTAGTTGCGGAAAGATCCTTGAGCTGGATTCCCCCACTTCAACCTCAATCTGTTTGTTCCAAGATGCATTAATAATACTCTCCAAGTTCCAAACATGGCTATGTGGTACTTCCTCAATATGGCGGTGTGTCTTTGTAAGTCTAAAAAACAATGGATCCCAGAACTGGGCTGGGCTGCCCTGGCAAGCGTTCCCAAGAGCCATCGCGGTGCCTGGTTCCAGCACCAAAGATAGTTATCCAGGCCTCACATGGGAGATCTGCTGCGCATGGCAGATCTGCAGCCCATCATGATTTTAGAAAAGCTTTGGAGAGGTGCAAGGCCGATGCAGCGTTTCCCAAAATGCCGAGGGGAGCGGCTCAAAGTGAAATGCCTTGAGTCGCCAGCCGGTGAGGACCACTGCTGCCAACCCCAACAGAAGCCGGGCACGCCGGTACCAGACCTGAAGTGAGTCGAAGCTGTTCAACCTATCTGGAGGACCTTCTCGAATGGAGGACCCCAGAAGGGACCTGTGTCCTGCGACAGTCCGAGTAAACGTACCATAGACTATGCCGCTTCCTTGGGAGTCTTTGGAGATACCGATCATGTCCATATTGTGTCTCAACCTTGAAGAGCTTGCGATGCAGGGAGATAGTTGTTACGGTTTCCATCTGGAATCTTCCTCTCAATCTGCAAGGTGAAACTGAAGTCAAAGCTCAGCCGCTCTGAGCAAATTGAAGAACATCTCCTTCTCCAAACATCTTCCTTCCATGTGCCCTGAACTCACCAAGCACCTTCCTAAACCACTGAGCTTCAAGCTAAAGGACAAATCTCTTTCTTGGAAGCCATGCCGCTGGGCGTTAAAGGTCCACCAAACTATACGCTCTCAAAGAAGACTGCCATTCAATTTCTCATCAGAACTTCCAGTGCCTGCCTCTACTACCTGAGACCTTACAACATCTGCTTGAAATTCGCAAGTGCCGCAGTGATTTGCTACCGCAATCAATGCTTTTGGATGCTTTTGGCATGGTGCAGTGCGGTTAGCCGGTTAGCCTTGCGCCCATGCTGCTTGATCAAGATGTGGCAGCAACACTGGCTCATTTCATACGCCGAGGCATGTCAGACTGAACGTGGAGGCAAAGAAGATATCTGGTGGGGACATTATTGTCGCAATCCCAACAGGGCCAGGGTAGCCGTGCAAGTAGTTGAGGAATGGAATCATTTCTTCTGGGACTCTGGGACTTCCTGAACATCACCCCTCTCCTCCTTGATCAGCAAACATGATCAAACATGCAACGTTGTTGAGGTCCTTGCTCAGAACTGGAACGAGCGATCAAAAGCTCAGTATCCGAAGTTAATTGCATGCGGAAGCTACCCTGCAAAACAAATTGCACCGTCCCACATTAAGTTGAGCTACATTCAACTACATTTTGAAGTGTGATAAACATTCTCTGTGCATGAAGCACAAGAAGATACACATGCACAAACAACACCATCTTAAAAGTTAGGTTGCAGGCACTTAAACTTGTACTGTATCACGTAGGCATTCCTGATGTGTTGTGTCACACATTCAATTGCGGAGCTTCCCTATCTTCCATCCTTCCAAGTAGCCAAACCCAATCAAACCCACCTCACCATGATCGCCACCCCTTTTTGCGATCATCGCCGCCAATCGCTTCGGTGCCGTGAATCGCGTGAGTCACTCCGCCTCTCCCGTCGCCGCCACTCCTCTCGCCGCGAGCGGCTGCGGTTCCGGCGCCGCGAGCGGCTCCGGTTGCGCCGCGGAGGGCTCCGCAGAGGGCTCCGCGGGGGCCGAGGTGGCGGTGAAGGTGATGGAGGTGAGGGGGGCGGCCTGAGTGCAAAATGTGCAAACCGCTGGTTGCGATGAGCAAATGATCTCCAAGCTCTTGATTTTGTTCGACCAACTATAGGGCTAGGTGCAGCTGTAGCTTGCATCCTCCGCATACCAAACATCCACAGGTTCACTAACCATTCAAAAAGGTTGTCTTCTCAAGCCTCCTGTGATTACACACCCCGGAACATCGAAAGTTGCACAAGGCCCACAAGATATGGGAGCTTGGTGAGTCATTTAGGCTTTGGAGATGTATTTTCATCCAATACAAACAAAACACAACAACATCTTGACCATGGCTCACACCAAAGGATTCTCCCATCTGACCACGCTCAAACCGTGTGGCCGTGAGGGCAGCTCCGACTGGCTGATGAGGATCGCCACAGCACGCTCCATTTCGCCCTCTGCGCTGAGAAGCGCTTGGCGACTCTGAAGATCCTGGCCACGCTTTGGGTCGCTCTGAGCCTCGACGGTAACCCATGGAGAATCAGATTCATCACCGTGAATCACCTCCAACGAGATAGCATCAAATAGCGGCCTTTAACCTAGAGGCGATAGCCTCCGCCATGAATCACCTCCATCCTCCAACTCTTCGTATTCATTTTGCGAACCACTCTTGCATGCATCTCACGCTAGCGAAAAGTCTGCCCCTTGGGACATATCGGAATCGGTTGTGATATTTCCGATTCTTCAAGTCAATTGAGCAACGTGCCTCTCTGTACCAAATCTGTTCGGGTTTGAGATTGAGTCATTCAGGGTTAATCTATGTTAATCTGAATGAATGCCTGACATGTCTTGAATATGTATATATTGGTCACCCGGCAACAATTCATGCCGGACGTCGACTTATTGAACGAGGTTGGAGGCTTCCCCTTTTGTGGTCACCCGGCTGACAGCTGAAATTGTTCAGTGCACTATGACAGGGGTTGTAACACACTATCTGACAGGGCATGATGGCATGGAAGGGCATGCAAGTGAGGCCCAGTCCTCAAAACCCATCTCGCACAACTGCTGCAACTTCGCTTCCCAGCTTGAGTCTTCCTGACCAGCTTGAGAGATTTAAGATGCTTTGATTGGAGCAGGTACCTGCAACATCCAGCAACTAACTTTTGTTTGACCCACAAGCTGACTTGGTTACTGCTATTCTCAGGCCCCTTACACTCCTCACATCTCACGATCAACACTCTCCCAGTCGTCCTCGTAGTCGTCAGGAACCACCACCGCTGGCGGAAAGGGGGAGTGGCTCCCGGTGTCTCCAGGCGGAAACGGGGAAAGGGTGCCGGTGTCGACGTCTCCAGGAGTCAGCGTGCCCCGCACCCAGTCATTGGGAGTACCGGGGCTGCCTGGAAGTGGTGGAGTAGCGGGCATTGGCCCAGATGTGAGAAAGGGAGTGAGAGGTGCTGACAATGATGGTGGAGTTGGTGGAGTAGGGGGCATGATGCCAGGACTGCGTGTAGGCGAAGGACAAAAAGCAGGGCTCCAAGCTGCTTCTGAGGTGGTAGGCGTGTGCCAACTTTCCCATGCTTCTCCTGTAGAAGGAGCAGACCAAGTTGAAATAAGAGGATCAAGGAGAGGGATTTCTGGTGCCCGCCACGATGGTGCTGGCGTCAACCTTAGAGACGGTGCTGATGGTGTCCATTGACGCCAGGGCGCATCTCCAGACTGACTAGGGTCACTGGAGCAAGGATGGTTTCCTGCCCACGTTTGCGGTGTCTCTGGCATTCGAGGTTTCGGCGCTTCGGTGGAAGGTGGCGGTGTTGCAGGCGGATCAGACTCTGCAGCTGCAAATATCTGGAAGATTCCACCGATGGGCCCGCGACACAAGGGGCAAACTCGTTGTGACGAAGGCTTTCGGTGGAATGCACGGGTGCACGTCACACAAAGCACCTTGTGGCCGCAAGGCACAATTGCATGGGTCGGGGCAGCATCCATACCTGGGCAAACTGCGGATCCTAGCCTGGCCTGAATCCTTCATGCAACCGGCCCTCACACATCAGAATGCCTCAAAGAGAGCACCTCTTTGATCCTCTTTACGAAAACATTTGTGGACAAGTTCTCCCATGTAAAAATCAGTTTAAACGAAACAAGGATAAATTCCGATAGTTGCCAGTCAGCGGAACTGTGTGCGATGAAGGTCCTCCAAGTCCTGTCTTCTATTTTGGCAGATTTTCTTCTTATTTGACCCCGTTGCATGCAGTTTGGTGTTTCGCGTTCAGTTAGTCAAGTTCTGTGGTATACTTTGTCAATAACTAGGAGCTCCTCTAATTACAAGAATTAAGTTTCCCAAAAATATCTAGGAACCATGTTATTAAGGCTCGGGCTTCTTCAAGGAAGCTCTCCCACGGTTGTCAGGCGGGGGCAGCCGAGCCCTTCTGCGTCCAAGATACGCCTACTTAATAGCTACCAGTAACTCAGTAGTAACTGAAGTGCCCTTCCAGGCTAAGAAAAATACTATATATATACACAGCAAGATCCCCTGTAAGCTCTCACCGCCTGGATGCAAATGATACATTCGCCCTTGGAAGGTGCCGTTGCCTCTGTACTGGAAGGCCTCGGGTAACAAAAACGACAGAATTTGTGTTTGGAGGATTTTGTTTGCTAGTAGGAACAAGTGCCTCGCTAGTAGTAACAAGTGCCTTACTGGTAGTAACAAGAAGCTATTAATTTAATTTAACAAGAAGCGATAGAAAGTGGGTCTTCATGGTTTGTCACCACTTTCTCTGTTGTTTTTGGGGTTCATAGCGGATATACGTATACATATACACTCTCAAAGGCTGCGACACTCACATACTTTCCTGTGCCTCCAGGAATCTCAACCATCAAAAGGGTATTCTGCACAAGATCAAGGTAGGAAGTCAAGAAGACTAAGGAAACAGCATGAGCAAAAACACTGTCCTGTGAAAGATTCAATAACATCAACAACCAAGAGGCGTGGCTGGAATAAGAAAATATCGTCGTGAGAAAAAAGTTGAAAGAGTTTGGGCCCACACTGCGAGATCTCAGCTAAAGGGTCTCTATACCAGGTGATCTGAAGGCTGCCCATCAACTGGATGGCAATGGATGGCAATGTATTATAGGAAGTTGAACGAGAAAACACAACACCGCAGGACTGCAGGAATCATTCCCAGAGCTGGACTGCTTGTGCAGCAACCAAGTTGGAGCAGCGAAAGATAGCTTTTAAGTGAGACAATGGGCAAACAAGGGGGAACAAACATCTTGAGTCAGGTGCAAATACATTCGATTAATCCGCACTGGAAGAAACAAACCCAAACTGCAGTTCAGTTTAATCAAAGCGACATTCCTTGTCCATGCTGATAGCTTGCTATCCAACTTGTTCGACTTGCTTTGATACACAGCTTCAAGTTAATTCAGCTTAGTATCATCGGTGTGGGAGGAGGAGGAGCAGGGGGAGTTCCTGCAACTCCACTCGCTTCAGCAAAGGCTGGTGGAACAAAGGCCGTTGCTGTCAAGGGCGGAGCAAACAAGTCCAGCGGCGGTGGTGGTGGAGTCCAGCTGGACCAAGGTGCTGCACCGGTCCAGTTGGGATCCTCGGCTGTTCGAAGTTGCTAGGATAGTAAAAACGACCTAGGTCGAACATGACAAAGGAACATCAACTTCCAAACCAGACTAGGCAGTTCCATGTTTTTAATTCAGTTCACCAAATAGGACCACTGACACAGATTTAAAGCAAGTCCCCCAAACGCTCAAGAACTAGATTGTACCTCAAACCAAACCAACGAAAGACATCGAAAGACTACAGTTCATCATTGCCAGGATCCATGGGAACACCAAAGTGGCTCATGTCGCCGATGTGTTCGGGAAGCCGCAGTTCGACATCTGGTCGTCTGGGTTGTGGATGTTCGAGAGTGGACGGGTTCATCAATAGTTCATCCATGACTGAATGCCCACATCCGGTGATGTGAAGGATGCTACTTTCAGGAGCTGAACCACTGCATATTTGTCACTATCACATGGTGGGGCGGTATTGAGCCAAAGGCGCAAGAACACTTGCCTCGACAATTACTTCGGGAAAGCTTGGGTGACCACGGGGACTGTGCACATCTCTAAACAGGACCAGGACAACAAGCATCAACAGCCTCTAGATATCTCTTGATTCTAGATCATGTGATGGAAATGCAAGCGTCGTGCCCACCAAAGAAAATTGGCCTGCAATGTGATCTCATGTGATCAGGTTTCCAATGAAAAAACTCAACTTAAACAAACATGCTCAAACGAGTGCTCGACCATGCGACTGCCTAGGGCCTAGTGTCAATCCGACTAGGTATTGTGTGGTTATTGTGTTGGTAGGTATCAAAACACACCTCTCACAAACAGCCCATCCGTGATTCTGAAGGACTGCACGTGGACATCTCAAGTGACTTGATTCGATCTTGGTACTGCTCCAAACACTCCAAGCATATTTTCTTACCTTCTGGCATCCAGAGTCGCAGCAAGATTCAAGATGCTATCTCAAGATTTACGTTTGTTGCTTGGGCCGTTTTGTGGATTTGTAAAACAATATGTAACAGTTGAAGAAGTGTGGACTTGTTGAAGCAGCACGTAGTACCTTCAACCCCGCTTGTCAATGCCTTTCACCACCTGCTTCTTAGGCCGCTGAAAAGCTTGACGCTTCATGACTAATCGTCTCCTGGACGAAGGTGAGAGCGCCTCAAGCACAGGGATCGAACAAACGAACCGATCAAGAAATGGTCTCATCAACCAGATCCATCATACAAAGCAGGCAATGTAGGCTTGACAACTTAGAATGAACACTTAATTACTACGGGCCCCAGGAACCTTCTTAGGCAAGTATAAGTCGCTGTTCGAATCCTGTGGCCTTGTTGAAGTGGGGTGAGCGCAGCAAGATCTTCTCCTGGCAGGTGCAGCAAAAAAGAATCGGTTTGCCAAAAATCCAGCAAAAACATGTTTGAGCACCCAAACCAAGAATGGATGAGGGGAGATTTGTCTTGTGGCGCTCTTAGACAGCTAAAGCCCAAGCATATCCAAAACTAGCCGCCTCGAGAGGCGCCAAAATCCAACCTGTACCACTGTACTGTATCGCCACGTATCACTTCCTCACATCACCGCGTAATTAGTAACAATATGCAACATTTACAATAGATCAAACTATTTGCAGTAAATACATCTATATAGATCTAATTGAATCTAAATATTGCCCAATGTTCAATGCTGCGAATGTGTTGCGGAGTGCTGCCTGCTCTTCAACCCCCCCAAATCACCCGCACACAACATCAGAAGACCCGCAGGGAGGGCGCGTGTGGTTGACGTGCCTTTGCAGAGAAGTCTCCCAATGCTTCGGTGCCGCTAAAAACAGCCGCTGGAAAAGGCAAGTGCGCGTGCAAAGTTGGGGATTGGCAAGCTGAGCAGGGCTGTTGCGCAAACAAAACTCCCACAGCTCTCGAATTGGTCCAGAAGCATCATGTGGCCAACACTCATTTGGCCACAAACGGTCTATGCATTGCAGAGTGGGGCAAGCGCCCCAATGAGACCGACCACAAGCCACGGTGGGCTCAGAAGTACACGTGCAAGCGAATGACGGCTTTGCGAGCATCCGCTCCACATGTCCAGGGCAAAGCATGCACCAGGTCCAACCTTCCGCGCCCTGCCCGTGCGAATTGGATAATGGCTTGGGTCTGCGCAAGAATGCTTCCGCCAACCTTTCGCAGCACTACCGATGGTTTTCAATCCCCGGCGTACCACTTGGCTGACTATCACTTTCCACATCTAGTTGTGCCAACGCGTCCTCAAATCCTCAAACCCCAACGCGCAGAAGCCACCCGTGACAGCCGCGACAGTGACCAGCTCCGTTCGCACCCGCGCGAACCACACTCGTTGCATTCATCCTCATTCATCCATGCGCCTGCTGCATTTCATTCAATTTATGTAGGTTGTCCGAACATACCCCGTCTCTCTGGTACAAGTTTGTGGCAACGCAGAACTTTCTCATCCAAGCATCTTTGATGATGGGACTGGCTCCCTCAAAGAGGGCCCACAATACAGATTAGTGTTGGGTCTAGCAATGCATGGGTTCAAAGGCAGTGTTTCATACTCCATGTCTATAGGCTAAGTAAGTCTGCGTATGCTTGAGTGATGGAGGACGTGACCTTGTGATGTGATGCTGACATGCTATGCTGTGCTATGCTCTGCTACAAGTATGCGTCCCACAAGGGGTCACTCTCCGACAAACGCATACATTCGTGGCGGATGGAGGATTGATGCCAGTTCTACAAATGAATGATTACCTATGTCATGCTGCCTGTCGTCTTGGCTGGCATGCCCATCTCATCAAGAGGAATCCCATTCCGAGCTGTCTCGATCAACATCCGCAGAGAAATGCCAGCCTCCGTGATGGCAATCGCTTCCGCTCCCGCAAAGGACGACGCGGGAACCTCCTGTCGCCTAAAACACTTCAAACAGCATCCACGCCAAGCACCAGACACACTGGTCACATTCCATGAAGCATCACAAAAGCCATACAACGACCCCTTCTTCAGTGATAACGGGGGTGAACTGGCTGGCATCTGTTGCACAAGTGCAAATGACCTTTCAATCAACAAAGAAAGCTGTGGCCAACAAGGCAGAATAAACACGGATCTGCAGCAATCTGGAACTTGGTGGAGCTGCGGGTCTGAGCCCAACGGTGTTCGGGCGCTTTCACACAAGTTCTATCGACATCACATACGCATACACCATCATACACCATCATGGCTTTCACAACATATATATATATATATAATATATACACATCAATTTCAATCCAACCGCACTCATCACAAAACCAACAAATGGATCCACAAAACCGAATACACAGGCGTGGGTTAGCATCTTGCGAGTCTGCAGTTGTACGACTATTGAGGACGCTACAACGCATAAGAAACGATGTATTTATATATATATATATAAAACGCTGATTGCGGAATTCACCACTGGCACAACCACACTTTTCTTGTCACAGAGGTGTGTGTGATCGGATCTGGGAGAATCGCAGCGCGGAGTGTCTTCCACCTAGCTTTCGCCGGCTTCTGCGGCTTCTGGGGCCGTATGCTGGAATTGAAGGTTGGGACCCTCTGGTTACCCACCAAGGCGATGAAGTTTACCCACCAAGGCAATGAAGCCTCCCAAATCCATTAGACGGACTAGCCGGACTCTTACTTATTGGGTTCTTCCTCTTTCGCTGATGTCATGCTCCTACCCTCCAAGTCTCCTGTCTGCCCGGTGGCTGCAGCTCAATGACCTCCGGACGATTGAGGAAGGGTTTTCTGACAAGGAGGACAATTGAACATCTCACTCTGACAAAGACATATTGAATTTGCCACAGCTCCAGAAGGAATCCTCTCAGCACTGAGGGCTGGCCATGAGTGTCATGTTGTCGCAGCCAAGACCATTCTCCTGATGACATCAAAGCTGAACCTGCAAACCTAGCGGGACATCTCAAGCTGAAGCTATCTTGGTTTTGTCAGAAAGAAATGATGACCGTCTCATCAAGGAAACCCAAGGTGAAAAGCTCGCAGGACAAATTCAGCACGTGCGCTTCAAGATTGTAATGCCTTCTGCTGCTACTATCAACATCTATCAACCACTAAGCGCATGTTTCCAAGCTAGCAGATGCTAGCTGCTAGTGGGTGTCATCTGCGGTGGAAGACCGCATTAACCTGCTTCAAATGTGATTTGAACAACTGCAGAATTTGGCCATCATCCGCAGCTGGCCAACTTTTTATCCATTCGATGTGATCTGAGCTTTCGCCTCAATGTGCAGCCCAAAAGATGCATGCGTGCGTCTGTCAAAGAGCCTCGTGATTTCTTACTGTATGATCTGTCGCTTTGAGAATGTAAGGGCCCATTTAACAAGGCCCCTTATTAAAGGTACCCTTACCTTTTTCCTCATCTCTGTTTTCGCCTTATTTTTTCATCTTCCCTTCAGACCAAGGCCAGGTCCATCGCCATTTGCCCACCGCTGAAGGTCGCGGGTTCGCTGGGAGCTGGTGGCCCTCAAAAGCATCTTCTTATATCATGACACACAGCTTTGACATGTTTTGGACGTTTTCCGGATGTCGACCTCTCCAGACCTGCGTGTAGACTGTATTGTGGCAAAGTTCGAGCCCCAAATCTATGGTCGTCCTGAGGTAATGAGAATGAAGTCATATACGCCTTTATTGTATAATATCTTTTGACATTCTATATACTATATGGTTAAAAAGTGTTGTAAGGCCTTGAGTACGTCTTTGGTTTCCAAACCAACAAACTTTCCTGAGGCTCCTGGCCGATCTCTCGGAGTTGGCTCTCTCGCACGTCGGATGCCCCTAACTTTGTCAAGGAGGTTACGAAGGAATCCTGGCACATCGGAGCCAAGGTGAACCGCATAAAAAAGGACTGCACAGCATCTGTGAACACAGTAACAAGTGCATCGCTAGTAGTAACAGGTGCCTTACTAGTAGTAACAAGAAGCTATTAATTTAAATTCAATTTAATTCTAATAGCTTCTTGTTACTACTAATAAGGCACTTCTTACTACTAGCGTGGCACTTGTTACTAGTAGTAAATGGCCCTCCGATGTTTAGGGAAACCTAGTATCCTGAAAACTCCCGAAACATGTTTAATCAAGATTGCCCTCACATGTAAAAATCAATTGCTCAACTTGTTCAGGCCGCAAAAAGGCAAAGCAAACTAAGCCGGTACGGCCCAGTCGTGTGGAGAGAACTCCTGGTGTCTTTTCTGAGCCTCGAACTCGGAAGAATCATGCAGAATCATGAATCAATTGTTGCCGCCATGTAGTCAGTCTATGTCAACTTGAACAGCCCCGGAAGCTTTGGTGAAGCTGGTCAGAGGTGATCTTTGTAAATCATCTTCTCTACTTGGCTTCCGGCCCACTTGGGAAGGGCATGCGTCACTCGTTGATCTCGGTACCTGAAACTTTGTCGTTAAACTGAGGTCAGCTTTGCTCAATTGAGACAACACTTCCCTCTTTGGTCGACATCTTCAAACGACTTGAGCAGCTTGAACAGGGTGAGGCCACATCTCTGGTCGTTGAGTGAAGTAATGCGCCAACTATCTATATATTTTCAACAAGTTGCAACACGCACTTCAATTATGCCAAACATTCTGACTACTTGGTCTTGTGGAGGCCATTTTGTGTTCGGCAACGGCAAGACAGGAAACAGCATTAAACGGGGGTGCAGGCTCTGCCAAGAACAATGGGTGGAGATGGTGGACTGACCCTACCACAGGCAACGTCGGGAGCACTCGGACGCCGCCAAGCCTCCGACCGGATGGCGAAGTGGTGTGGCAGATCAGTTGGAGCTTATTGGACTGATCCATGACACACAATCTCATGGTGTGACCAATTTCACACGGGCGTCCTATGCTGGAGCTCTGGTAGAAACACGATCTGAGAATCTTCCCCGGTAAGGTGCACTTTATTAACTTGGCCCCAGCTCAAGGCAAACGTTTTTGGCATGAGTGCCCTTGAACACTGGATGCGTTATGCGTTGGATGATGATCTTGCTGATCACAGCAGGCCTCATTCACAATATATATAAGTGTTAAGATCTGAATCAGCAACATCCAACTCCAAGTACTTCAGACCTCCATAGAATCATAGATCGCTCAAACCAATCTCCCCCATCTTCCAAGACCACAACAGGTCCCTTGAAGTCCCTTGGGGCTCGTGGCCACGGGTAAAGCGCACGAAGTCCACTGGCTCGAAAATGCCCAGGTGTCGATGCAAATGCCGACCTCGAGTCAGTCCCGAGTCCACCGAGTCCTGTCTCCCAAAACGTCCATATCGAAAAACAAAAAAGAAAAGAATCGAAAAAGGCACAAACGAAACGTCGTTCGTGCTAGATTCGTGTTTCTTTCTTTCTTTCTTTCTTTCTAGATTTGTGTGGGCTAAGCATATCCCAAGTGTGACGTGGGGAAGACCGCATCAAACACCTCATTAAGTGACTGTATCAAGCACCGCCCAATGGGTGTGCTTTTGGACCGGATATGATACGAATGAACATCCCCAGACTATGAACAATGGACAGTAGCAGGTGAGCCAGCACTTTTTCTGGTAGAAACTGAAGCTGCATGTCCCCAGGCTCAAGGGTTCAACTTTTGACGCCACTGTGTGACGTTGATGTTGGGTTGGCGACAATGCTGGTTGGCGACAATGCTGGTTGTACTACACAAGCAAACCAAAGTCAAAGGGTCTGGGGATTCATTCTGAAGGTCCCTGCCTGGGCCTTTCCCCAACAATCCTGACGCAAGGCAACATCTCTGCTTGTACGCAACACAAACAACTGACATACCCCCGGCATGCACTGAAACCAACACCGTCGTCAGGGAGGCTGCAACAAAATTGATTCGACCAACTTACAGCAGAAATGAGACACACCATAATTCAGACCATTAGGTCGTCCCCACGCTATAGACATCTGCCAGCTTGATTTTTCTCCTGCCGTTCGTTTGGTTCACATCTGCAAAGCGGTGAGGCGACGGCAAAGTGTCGAGAAGAGGGCTTGGTCTTCCGGACCTTGGCTTTTTCTCATGCAATAAACGGCTACTGGAGGCCATCGCTAGTAGGTTGGAGGCCATTGCAATTAGGGTGGAGGCCATCGCTATTAGGCTAGCAAGATTTGATAGTGACTTCATGTAACTTCTCAGTTCGGTCAAGGTCAGGGACCGACCACGCACAACCTTCAGCATCAGCCTAACATTGAAAGACCCCCCAAGCTTCTCTATATAATTAGGTGCTTTCTTTCTGTCCTTCCTGAACATGTTTGGTCAGAGGAGCATCTATCCTGAGTTGAAGGCCTAAATAGGGTAAAGGGTAAAGGTGAGTATCACGCTTGATACGCACAGTCGTTGGCTATCCAGTTAGTACAGGCCAGTGTAGGATGACGACACATCCAATCCACATGTAGTGGTGTGACAGTATATTAGCTTGGACCACACAATGCCAAACGAAAACACTGCGCTGGCTTCTACAGGATCACAATGACATGTTTCAAATACCCTGACATCTATGCACCCGTCCTATTATTAGAAAACATCAATTGCAGTATACAGTTGGGCCTCCGCTCGAAACATAGATCGTCTATGTATATGTAAACAAAGAACCAAACAAGTTAAGTGTCCCTAAACATCTAGGAGCTATCCCGCGTCTTAGCTAGGAGCGAACTTCTCCTAGTAGCTTACCTCCTTACTTGATTGAGTAGGAGCGGAAAAAATCGCTTTCATTCTTCTCAGAACCCTGCAAAACCGTCTTGTCGACCGCTTTGCGCCCCGCATCGTTTCGCAAAGATTTCCGTCACTCGCGCCACGTCATAACCTCAGCCACTCAGCCATGACTGAACCCTGATCCGCCGGAAGCATAAGCTCATTTCAGCGGGTAAGTAGGCAACTCCTTACCACCAAGAATACAGTAGATCACAGAACTTGCCGTGTTTACCCTTTCAAATGTTGACTTCTTTGTGAATGAGTCAAGAACCGATCCTCCAGCTAACCGTCTCAATTTGTCCTTGGACCCTGTGCAAGGATGTACTCTGCTCTCATCGTAAACTCGGAGTTCTAAGGACGGAGTGCACAGCTTTCACAGAATCGACATCCTGCAATTCTATTGGTATCACTTATAGATCCATATAAATATTATAACATGTACTGTATAAAATGCATTATATATTATATACATTATACATATAATATTATGTAATATTATGTAATATCGTGTATAGTGCTCACGCATGACGCTGTCTTTACAAAGTTGACAGACATGCCACCCAAAACACAGCTGCAGACCGCTCTGTGCATTCACGCTTTCATTACGGGGGTCCACAACCAAATAAAACACCTTTCCTTTCTTGAAGTACCTATATAACATATCGTAACACACGCTGCCATACCTGGCCATATGTAGACCCTTCCACCTTGCTAAGAAGCCCCACGTTCCTTCGACTCATCCTTGAGTGCCATGAACCGTTGTGCCAAAGCCTCTCTTCCAGGATCATTGCAAACAATGTACAGTTTTGTACAGTAGCAAACAAGTCCCTTAGCTGTTGTCCTGTGCATTTGCCTGCTTGTAATCATCTCACAAATGCACTCTTCATGGTACTGACACCTCAGTCTGGAGGACAATCCATACTGTATCCAAGCCCCTTTTTTGGCCCCTGCCTCAGCAAAGCCAGGAAGGAACTGCCCTTTGTGATCCACTTCGGCCATGAAGCGTGCGGCCGCTGTGAGACCCCTGCGATCACAAACATGTGTTCTGTCTGCAGTAAAACATCACGCTCGTTGCATCATACGCTTTCTCTTTCAGTTTCGCAATCTCTTTCACAGTCAATGCTACTCATCCACATACTCATCCGCATTGGCAACTTTGTTTGAGTCCTCCTGCTTGAAATGCTTCGAACTTTGCCAAGCTTTGCCATGCTTTTCCCCGTGCCATAGCATTAGCTGATTAGGGCCTCAAGTTCAATGTATCACGATCATGGCGAATCTGCGTGAGCATCTGTCGGTACCTTTGGCAAAAGGATTTGATGAATGGCTTTGGAGGTAGCATACATCAATCACAACTTGCTCGGCACCTTCTCGAAGGACAGCCAATGCTATCCACCCATCTATATACCCATATGTACCCATGTAGATTCTGTAGATCAAGTGGCATTTCGCAGGAAGGCTCAAACATCTCAAAACCATCCCACACTACATCCCGCTCATTTGACCGCTCATGAGGGCACACATTCTCGAACCTAGCCGAAGGCATGATGGGCGCCAGCGCGGCACCGATCTCCGCGAGGCTCCACGCAGGGTAGTCGTACCTCTCTAGTCGATGTCTGTAGTCTTCATGCGCAGTCGTCCAAGTGGCCAGGATGAGAAACATTTGTTTGTGTAAAGTGGGGTCAGGGTCTACGTACACGTACGTGTAAATGTATGTACATACAAATCTCACATTTTAATGGAATAAACTTATGAGGATGAACGCTTTTGACAGGAGAATCATGCGGGAAAACTGAACTGAAACTGCTTCGCTCCGTAAATTCGAGTTTCAATCTGGTCAATTACGTTGGTTCCTTAGAAGGGCCGAGCGCTCTTGCACACAGCAAACAAGTTGTTCTGACATCGACATAGCACCAACACAAAAGTACTTGATGGATTTACCACCAATGAGGGTGCAAACGATGCCTCGCAAACATATTATGCAAACATTATTCTTGGTGCTCTGTTTCTACGTATGTGGGCGGAAAAGTACATCTAACATCATCTCCCTGTTCACATCCCGCTTGCAGTGCCCCCTTCGTTTCCCGGCACCAGTTATCTTCCACATGAGCCAGAATGACCTGAAAAACGGCACCGCGGACATGTGAATACAACTCAATGAGTTGGAGGATTTCTGATTCACACTAGGGTGGAAAGAGAAAATCCTTGGTATGATTTGGTATGTGGGTTTCAATCGGTTTTTGGTCCAGTACCAAAGACTTGTATCAGGAAAAACCTTCTATTTCTGTGCTTGAACTTTGAGTTGTGGTAACCCTCAAATTTCATTAGGTGGTGGTGTGTCCTAGACCAAGATCGGAAGAAACACTGGACAATAGCAATTCCAGCACCACCTTTTATATCTATAACACAAAATTACTTTCAGTTGGATGTGAGCATTCTCCACACCCTATACAGAATTTCTTAAAATGCACGCAAAGCAAACTAACAAGAAGTATATAAGTGTTCTGTACTTGGAGTGGGTGAGACACATTTTTGTTTGCGTTTCAAACTGCGCGAGTTGTGCACCACAGATTCATGCCAACTGATGCCACTTTCATCCGCTTCCCCCCTTTTCCCTGCTTGCCTCGAAGAGCCGAATTTCATGGACCTGCATGCACTACTTTTGAGCTGCAAATGAAGGATTTCTTCCTTGCCCTCCGCAAAACTCTAGCAACGTGCAAGGTCTGTTGCGTCGCTGTCGACAAACTGGGCTTTGCAACTTTGCAACTTTGTTTTTTCCTGAATGCGTAGCGAAGGTCGTTTAACTCTGGGGGTCTGGGGGTAGAGCCTTGTTCGCGACCCGTTGTCAACCGTCCGCAGCCGTTTGCAGCCGTCCGCAACCGACCGCGCCGTTCGCATGTCTAACCGTCCGCAGCCATTCGCAGCTGTCCGCAACTGACTGCGCCGTTCGCATGAGGACGCTAAGGCTGCTGCCATTGGGGGAAGGTTTCGGAGTCAGTTTGGCATTGAAGCGTGATGTGTCAGATTCGTGTGAAGTAGCGAGGAAACGTGTGGAAACGTCAGAAGTTGAAGTGTGGAAGATGAGTTCACTGCGCAGGCGCAGCTTTTTGCGAGATCGGCAGTTTTCTGCGCAGTTACATTGGGATTAGCGTTTGGAGAGTGGTGTTTTTGGGGTGTTGGATGTGGCTGTGCCATTGGGATTTGTGTTTCAGGGTGTTACATCGAAGCTCTGTTTTCGTGACGAGTCTCAGCTGAAGTGGCGATTTTGGTGGATGGGAGTGTGCTCAGAACGGGTCGAAATCATTCCCAACGTGTGGTGTGGTGCAAATTTTATTGAAGCTCACATGATATGATATTGTTACTTTTCGTGGCATAGCGATTCAACTTGGTGGAAGCTTCCATGTCACGACCTTATCGAGACTGACATCCATTGTGAAACATGGGATACTGCCAGGAGGAGACAAGGGAACAAGAGGAAGTTCATTCAATTCTTCAACCACTACGCGCCTTGGGACGTGAGAGCATCAACAGTGGCGCAGTACTTTGTGCGGGTTTTGAGGTGAGGAAGTAACATTTCGTGGCAGGCGCAGTACTTTGTGTCCTACAAGAGTGCCCCACAAGAGCGTCCTACAAGAGTGTCCCACAAGAGCGTCCTACAAGAGTGCCCCACAAGAGTGTCCTGCAAGAGTGTGCTACAAGACTTTCCCACAAGAGTCTTGTACAAGAGTGTTCCGCAAGAGTGTCTGTCCCACAAGAGTGTCATATAAGAGTGTCCAACAAGACAGTTCTGCAAGAGTGCCCCATGGCCCATAAGAGTGTCCGACAAGAGTGTCCTACGAGAGTGTTACACACAAGAGTGACATGCAAAAGTGTCCCACAAGAGTGTCCTACAAGACTGTTTCGCAAGAGTGTCCTACAAGAGTGTCGCGCAAGAGTGACAAACAAGTGTGTCCCGCAAGAGTGTCCCACAAGAATGTCCGACAAGAGTGTCCTACAAGAGTGCCGCGCAAGAGTGTTGCACAAGAGTGTTCCGCAAGAGTGTCCCACAAGAATGTCATATAAGAGTGTCCCACAAGAGAGTCCTACAAGACAGTTCTGCAAGAGTGCAACATAAGAGTGGCCGAAAAAGGATTTGGCCAGGTGTGTATGTTCAGCAGTCACATGTCGCAAATGCTTATGTACACAGAAGTCGCTGTGATAATTTTGCGCAAAAAGATTGATTACTGGGCCCCCCTCTCTTAATAGATAAGCATCAGCATATGTAACCAAATGTGTTTGGTTCGTGGCCTCCATCTTTCTATATCCGCCGACCCCGGCCGAAGTCAGGGGGAGCGCGTAAGGGAAGAGTCCAACCTGAGCAAGAGAATTGCGAGCGGGACCTGAGTAAGAGACCTGCGTCTGGGTGCTGTGTTTGGAGAGGGTTTCCGAGGCCGGGTTTGTGCCCGCTGACACCGGTAGGGAAAAGACATGAAAAAGACGTGGTTTTCTCTGTTTCTTGAGGGTTTCAGACCTGCCGTTGTGCTGTGGCGGAACTGGCGCTCTCGGAGGGTGGAATGCGTGAAAAAGATGTGAAAAAGACGTGGTGTTCTCTGTTTCTTGAGGGTTTCAGACCCGCCGTTAGTTGCGCTGTGGCGGAATCGGCCTTGTCTGGCGCTCTCGGAGGGTGGAACGCTTGAAAAAGACGTCGCTTTTATCTGTTTCTTGAAGGTTTCAGACCCGCTGTTAGTTGCGCTGTGGCGGAATCGGCCGTGTCTGGCGCTCTCGGAGGGTGGAATGCGTGAAAAAGACGTGGTTTTCTCTGTTTCTTGAGCGTTTCAGACCCGCCGTTAGGTGCGCTGTGGCGGAATCGGCCTTGTCTGGCGTTTTCGGTGTCTGTTACACGTGAAAAAGACGCGGTTTTCTCTGTTTCTTGAGGGTTTCAGACGCCCCGCGAAGCCCCCG